GGCAAAGAAGGTCAGCGCCTGGCGACGACTCCGTCGTCTCGCGCTGGTCCAAAAGTCAACGTGCTTTCCCACGTAATTACCTTTAAGACCGGTTGCAGGTAATCATGTGTACGAGCAGTTTTCAAAATCAGATTTAAATATTTTTATTCTAAATAAAACATTCTTTTAAAATAATGGTTAATAGGCCCTCCTCTAGATCATCGGGCCACCTTTGAAAATCATTGGGCCTAATCTAATTTTATCCATAACTTCCTCACAAGTCATCGGAATCGGGCCTATAATATATCATTAGAAAGCTCTTTTCGAGCCCAATCCAACTACACTATTATTGAACCTTTATTATGGACCAAACCAAATTGGACTGGCTATTTTTCATAAAATAGGAGTAGAAAAAAATATTTTTAGAAAAACAGAAAGAGAAATATTTTAATAATAAAAACATCCTCATCATTAGACTTTCCACACTTTCACCTCGTTCGATAATCGAATAACGCAAAAGGTATTCATCACTGGGTTAGGTTTTGGGGAGACACATTTGGGTGTCTACAGACCAGAACTACATTTACTACCCAATCAGGGTAGTAGCAATGCCGAATGAAACCGGCATCCAGCAGCTTTTTAACTTCTACTGTGGCCGCCTGATTCATCTCTTCTCCATGATTTTTCTTTTTCTGTCGAACATGCTTCAACATTGGATTTACCACCAACTTATGGAAGGCTAGACTTTGATCTATGCCCGGCATCTCATGAACCTCAAATTCAAAAACATTCTTGAATTCTCTTAACAGCTTTATCAGGTCGTCTCCTAGCAAGACCATGGCAATAGTGCCCACCTTGACCGTCCGATCAGGTTGATTTGGATCAAGCACTATGTCCATATGGTCGCTAGCCGGCTGCGGCCTTAGATTTCTAGCCGGCCGACGACCATTAGCTGCTATGCTTGCTCTTTCTTGATGCACTTCTAGCCGACCTATTGTCTTTGGAGTAACTCCTCTTCGGAATTTGGCTCGGACGACCGTTGTCATCCCTTAGCTACTGGCTTCACAGCCAACTGATTGCATTCCTTAGCCATTTTTTGGTTACCATGAATGGTACCAATTTTTTCTGCGAATCCTCTCAAAATTCATTAGCATTAAGTGGGGTACGATTACTGCTTTAGATGTTGTTAAAGTCGGACAACTAATATTAGCATTGTAGCCTATAAGCTCTTTGACCACCAGGAAGCGGACGACCATGTCTCTTCCTTCTCCCTTTTTCCCAAATCGGACAGGTAAATCAATTCGTCCTACCGGGTGTATGATACTCCCACCAAACCCAACAAGCGGATTGGAGATAATCATCAGACATCCTTGATGGTTATGTTGGACAAGCTGCCCGTGTCAACTAGCACCCAACCAACCTTCATATTAGCCACCTTCAAGATGAATACCATGGGGTCATTATGAAGGGCTCTTATCTCGCCTTGGTCTACCTCGCAGACCGTCACTTTTGAGAAAGGCTCGTCCTTCACCCCCTCAGCGTGCATCACATTCCCCAACATCCAAGCATCCTGCTTGATTCTCGTCATGGTATGGCCGCATGCGGCAAAGCCACTTGATATGACGGCCACAAAACCAAAGTGAGTGTTGTTTCCATCATTTTCTTTGTCAGCTTGCTTTTTCTTCTCGGATTTGTTGTCTGTCCGAATGTAAGTGAATTTTGACTTCAAGACGTACGAATTCAACATGCCCTTTTCGACCAGTTTATCAAGCAATCTTTTCAAGTTAATGCCTTCATTGGTGTCATGTCCCACGTCCTTGTGGTAATGAAAATATTTGTTCTTGTTGCGGTATTGGGCCGAGCCTCTCGGTGGTTAGGCTTCTCAAACTCAATTTTATCTTTGATTTCCATCAGGATTGAGTAACAATCTTTGTTGGTTCGTGCGTCTTGACCTTCTTTGATTTTGGCTGCTGGGTGTTAGCCACCCAAACTTCCTTCCACTTGTTTCCTTCTTTTTTTTTCCGATCGAGTCTTGCTGAGAAGGTTGCTTTTTCTCAGCCCCCTTGGTCGGCTTAACTGCTTTGGTAAGCGAACAAAAGTCAAATGCCTCAATGTAGGCTTCGGCCTCCCGCAATATGCCTGCGTATGTCCGAATCTTTTTCCTGAATAAATTAAATTTGAAGCCATTGTGCCTTAACCCTTGGAGAAACTCGGAATAGGCCATTTCATCCGGAAAATTATGACTTTGGGCTTTTTCTTGATTAAACCTCTGGACGTACGAACGCAATCCTTCATTCTTTCCTTGAACGATTGTTGCTAGGTTCAAGCTGGTCTTCCTTGGGGGAATGTTGTATGAGAAGTTTCCAACAGACAATAGACTGAGAGTGGTAAAACAATTGATGCATCCGACTGGCAAACTGTTGAACCAGTCCTACGCCACACCCTTAAGGGTGGCCAGGAAGCACCTGCACCATTTGGCATCGTCCACACTTTGCAAATACGTCAGATTTCGATACGAAGTGGCGTGCTGTTTCAGGTTACCTATACCATCATAGGCACCTACAAGTACACTCTTAACCTTTGCTGGTTGAGTTTCTTGAGAAAACGGAGGCGGCTTATCACCAAGATTTAACAAACTCATTTGCCAATCAATTGGTTGAGGTTGTGCAGAAGGTTTGGCCAAGTTAGCTGCTTGGTCGAACGGCTAGCCATATTGCCCGTACTGTCTGAAGACATGAGGGTTAGGCGGCAAAAATGCATTAAGATTCTGGGGGGTCTGATATTGAAACGACTGAGCAATTGGAATAGGAGTTTTTGTACGATGAGCTAGGCTTCTGTTGGTCCTGACCGAGCTGGTATGTTTGGAAAAAGAGGGGTCGGAGAATTCATCCGGTATTGTGGGAGTAGAGGCAGTGTCCAAGTAGGCTGCTCGTTCCCGTTGTTTGTGCCGAATGTATTCCCTTGCGTCCTTCTAGCATTGAGACAACTCATGCTTTTCCCTACAAGGTTGCCTGGTCTGCCCCTAGCCGACTATGTTTTCTCCAGGAACCTAGACAGATTCATCCGTGGCACCCTAGGAGATCTTCCAGGTCGTCTTAAAGGGGTAATTCCAGCATCTTCAATGTTCGTTGTCTTGCTCTAGGTCTTCTTGTGAGTGCCCTCTCTTCCCCTCCTAGCTGCTTCCTAGAGGAAGAAGGCATCTTACCCTCAAGCTCCGTCCAGAGCTTGCTCAAGGCAAGCTTAAGTGAACTAGCAGTAATCGGAGGATCATCGGCCTCAGTAATGAATCATATTTATATAGGGTTCTTAGGCACATTTATGTTAGTTTTCATTTCTTTTTCTTAGTCTTTTTGGTTGTTTTTAAGGTCATCATACGTTATCATATATCGCTGTATTACGCATTGTTTGTGTAATTCTTAATGTTTCAGGTGATTTCATAGTCATTTGGACGCTTTCGAAGTGTTTGGAGATGGTTCGGATGATATTTGAATGGAAATCAATGAATCAAGTTCATTAATCGAAGGATCCATCCTTGTGGATGTTGGCTCCAAGGATTTTACGCATGGTACATGAATATGGCATCCATGAGAGTCGTTATGGACCTTTCGGAAGCGAATTTGAGTTAGAAACGGAGAAAAACGAAGGCTTAATTGCAAGATATCAAAAAAGACCTTTGCTCATTGTTTTGACCATAACTCGGGTTCTACAGATTGGATTGAATTGATTCAAAATGCGTTGGAAACAAGACTTAAAGAGCTTTCTAATGATACGTCACACGCCCCAAGAGGCTTTCTAAATAAAAGTTATGAGGGTTTGAATCCAAGTAATGTAATCAGCCATCCGTGGGACCTTGTTGCGGGACTGTCCAGCGGCCGCTCGAAGGCTGCCGCTGTTTCTGCCGGGGCCCAGCCACAAGCCCTGCGGCCACGGGTTTGGTCGAGTGGTGATGAGCCACGGAAGCTTTGTTTCTATCGTGCCACGTCATCAATTATCATCCAATAGCATTATATCTTATGTATTTATTTATTTTATTTAGGATGAGGCAAAATTAAATAAATAAACAAATACTTGAGAGAATTTTTTTTGGCCTCTTATGCTTTATTTTCTAGATTAAAAGTTTCTTAATTTTTTATCTCCAATGTTGAACTTTAGTTTATTATTCTCCATTAATTCAATCATTGAGGTATTTCATTGAATCTTTCGTTCTTTATTTATTTTATTAATTATGAATTCAAGTTTATTTATCTGTTTTGTTTTGTTTATTTCAATTATGAGTGAGTTTTGTTTTGTTTATTTCATTGAATCTAGGGCTAAGTAAGGGAAGCTATGTTTATACCTTGTTTAATTGTGCTTAATTATTTATAAGTTTATAAATTAGGGTTTGAATAATTCCAATTGATTTGTGCTTTATTATTTGATTCATGTAATTGGCCAATATCATGAGTTGATTATTTAGCTAATATAAATTAGAATTGAAAGATAATATTTTTAGAGGCTTAATTACAATTGACGAATTTGATTATGTTAGCGACCGAACTACATATGTTAATTCGTAAGAGTTAATTCTCGACCGTAACAAGTGCTTTAATTATTCGACCTTTTTTTTTTATTAATGGATGTTTGCATTTCTTTGATTGGTATAAGCATGGTGGATCGAACGTATGCCCTAGACCTTTATTTATTTGAGAACAACCTTATTTTCATTTTTATTCTAGTTTACTTAATTGATCATCAATTCACTCTTTGTTTATTGAAATAGTTTATAATAATTGGGCAAAAACTAATAGAACCTATCTCCTAGTGGGATTCGACCCGTATTTGCTAAGTCTCTGCTAACAACAGACACTGTGCACTTGCGGTATTACTTTTTATTCATCAAGTTTTTGGCGCCGTTGTCGGGGAGACGGATAGCTTCTATTAGTTTTAGTTTGATTGTTTGAATTGTTTCCATTGTCTCATTGGAACTTCTAGTTCCGATTGGGGCATTCTCACTGTGTTCTTTTCTTTTTGTTTATGCCCAGGTCAAAACGAACAGATGATTTGATCCCTACGGATCAAGACTTGGACAAGACCCTTAGGCAACTCAAAAAACAAGGGAAAGCGAAGCAGAAAAAGACCCACTCACAGAAGAGCTCTACAACACAGTCTGACACACACAAAGTGATGACTGATAATAGGTCTCTTAATTCTTTCAGGGTACCATCCCAAGATGGCATTCCAACGGGTCTTAAAATGCCAGCAATCACTACAGAGAACTTTGAAATTAAACCTGCATTGCTCAGTATGGTCCAACAAAACCATCCTACTGACGAGCCAATTAATCACATGCAGCGATTTCAACAATTGTGCTCCACTGTTCATCACAAAGGAGTCACTCAAGATCAATTGAGAGTGATGTTGTTTGGATTTTACCTTCGCGATAGAGCTCAAAAGTGGTTGAATACTGTCAAGGAGACGGAGTGGAGCAAAATTTCTCAGGCATTCCTCAAAGAGTATTTCCCTCCTTCAAAAACTGAAAAGATTCAACATCAAATATCAACATTTTCTTAAGAGTCGGGGGAATCTCTTTGGGAAGCATGGGATAGATTCTTAGATCTTCAATGATCATACCAGTAAGTGGTACTTGGTCATCTTATTTATGATCGTGGCATCCAAGTTGACAAAGCAGAAATTGAGGTGATTGAGAAACTTCCCCCTCCCATGAATGTCAAGGGAGTGAGAAGTTTTCTTGGTCATGAGACTTGTAGTGAGGTACTTGAATGGAGAGATGACATTCCCGAAGGCGTTGAGAGAACCTAATCAAGATGATGAGTTGAGAGTTTTGAATACATCATAATCTTCTTCTTCTGGAATGAATTTGAATTTGCAATCATATAGTTCCGGAGATAGAACTAGGGGTGCTAATAGTTATGCTAATAGTATTAGTGAAATGACTGTGTAAAGAACACCAGTGTGATTACGTTCTTCTTTGTTTACTTGTTAGTGACAAGATGTATATTCCAAAAGTGTGATTATATTATGTTTTTGGAAGTGAATAAGGAATATTACCTCCATTTGTAAATGATTGCAAATTTGCAAGTTACTTTTAGAGAAGGTATTAGGTGTGGATTGTCGTACGCAAAATTACGTGCGGCAAGCTCGGCTAATATGTTTCATTTATTGGCCGATATGTTCTATTTGTTAACTGATAATCGCTTTGTCCCATGGTACTTGACACAATTCTCATTTACGTCTGTCCCACAATACTTGACTCGTTACTAAAAATGAAATAAGACCACTAATAAAAAAAATATATATTTTCCCACATTTTCCCTTTGTTCACCTACCCCACTCCAACCTCATTTTTCTTACAATAAAAAAAATACAAAAGAGAAAATTTTGTACAATAAACAAAGATGAGATCATATAACCTTTACTAAGGCATCACTCAAGCCTAAAAACTAGATTTATCTAAAATGCCTTATTATGTATGTTATAATTTGAGTTCCTTTTCTCACCTTTCTGAGTTTGTTTCCTTCAATCTAGAAGCATTTAATTTCGCACGTTAATTGTTTTATGATGTGAAACCTTTACTTCATAGGTTTGATATGCGCACGCCGCACGGTTTGGAAGGTCGAAACACTTGCAAGGTCTAAAGTCTGTGAAGCACATATATTCACAAAAATAATGTTTGTAGTAAATTAATTATTAATACAAAAAGTTAAAAACAAAAGAGAAGTTAAATTTGCCACTTCACAATCATTAAAGGGCACCTATCTTGCTAATTGGGGCATCAAATCCAGCACAATTGCACTAAGAGCACTAGTCGATCATACATCTTATAGCACAACCTCTAACATGGATCAAACTTTCTACAAATTATTCATTGCAATTGCTTATCGTGTATGATTATACAATGTTTACTCTTTACCTTCAGTACTTGTATGTATCTCAAACTTTTCTTCCATGTGCTTACTAATGCGGATTTTAGTCCGATTTTGTGTAGAATAGAACCACGATTATTGTTTAATGGCGTTGTGGATTATAGTGATGAAAAATATGGTTATTATGGATGAAAGTAAATGGGTAGTACTCTAATTCTCACAAGAAAGAGGGTCTCTTCCTAGTCGCAACTAGAAGATGATCATTGAGCAATGCTAAAAAAGAATTAATTCCCAAAATCAAACTCTGAATTTTATTACTTATTATGTGGCCTATTTACAGGTTTTACAAGAAAAAGATAAAATAGATAGAATCCTAATCCTATTAGGTGTATAAAAACTAATTCTACTCTAATTTGAATCCCTAGTAACCCACATTAAACTAACTACCTTAAAAAACTAATTAAGGAATCTTAAGGCGCTTCAAACAAGAAAAACCCTTTCAAGTGAAAGGTAAAAACTATCAAGAAAAGAAATCTTGGATGCTCTAGCATCATACTCCCCCTCTTGAAAAAAAACTTGTCCTCAAGTTGCCTCAAAACAAGGAATTAAGTCGTTTGACGGAAATGATGCGCAAATTCCTTTTGTGAGAAGCACTTGATATGTGTCATAATTCTCATGGTGCACTAACTCAAAAGGGCCTTCTTCCACAGCTTCGGCTTTCCCTATCATGTTGTTGTAAATCTTTTGTGCACTTAGAGATAACCAAACGTAGTCACCAACATCAAAAGCAGGCTTCTTTCTAAGGTTTAAGACTTGCTCTCGCTTGATTGCTTTCTTTCCCTTCTTGTTCAATTCGTGCGAATCATAAGTAGAGATGTACAAGTTGCTTGGAGTGGCCGAATCTATCTTGGCATGTTCTTTAGCTTTTGAAGCCGAGTTAGTCACACTTTCCTTACTTGCATGCATATACTTGGGAGGCAAAGGTTGAACCCCTATTCAACTATTGCCAACGGCAATGGTATAAATATTTTGTTTGCATAGATGAGTAGCATCTCAATCCCACTGCCACGGTCTACCTAACAACAAAGAACAAGCATCCATGGGTAATACATCACACCAAACCTCATCCTAGAAATCTCTGATCTCCAATTAAACTAGAACACGTTTCTTTACCAATAATCCACCATCATTGTTCACCCAATTGATCTTATAAGGTTTAGGATGATCTTGTTGTTCCAACCCTAATGTGCCAACCATCTTCTTAGAAGCAATGTTAGTGCATGATCCTCCATCAATTATAAGAGAACAACTCCTTCCTTTCACCATGCAACGTGATTGGAATAAATTTTCCCTTTGTTCTTTATGCTTCTCTTGAGTTAGCGCAACATGTAAAACGGACCTAATTACTAATACATTGTCATCAGGTGCAGCTTCATACAATGGACCCTCAAACTCAACTTCACGAGTAGAAAGTTGATTTGTTATTTCCTCCTCTTGCAATCTTGTGTGAAGGGCATGTTTCTCCCTCTCATCCTCCACCATGACCGACAAAAGAGCTTGTTGTGCTTCAAGACAAACTAGAACGTTGCTAGGGCATTGTGCAGCAATATGACCTCTACCCTTACACTTGAAACAAATCTTATCCTTCATAACCACTTGACTACGAAGCAAGGGTTTTGATTTCTCACTTTGAAAAGAAGGAAACATGGATGAATTCTTTTGTATGTCTAACCCTTCCTGAGTTCGAATTAAATCTGAATCAGGTACATATGGATGGCGAACTAGTTTCCCCTTTTGTTCTTGCATTTGTCTCTCTATGGTACTTGCTAGCATACATACATCATTAAAGGTCTCGAATTGTTGGACCTCAACAGCATATGCAATAGATTTGCTTAAACCTAGTAAAAACTTGGCAATCTTTTGTTCATCCTCTTCTTTATAACCACAAGCTAGATATAACTTCTCAAACTCCACAACATATTGATCAATAGATAATTGATTTTGTTGTAAAGAATTTAATTTCAAGAATAACTTTTGCTTGTAAGATTTAGGAACAAAACGCTTTCTCATCTTAGATTTTAGTGTTGTCCAAGTTGAAACCTTTTCTTTTCCATCCTTAACCCTTTGAACTTGCATGTTTTCATACCAATCTAAAGCAAAATTTGAAAGCTTTGAAATTGCATGAGAAAATCTTAAGGTTTCGATCATACCTTTATGCTCTAACAAACGATCCATGCGCTTCTCCCGATCAAGATATACTTCGGGGGTCTGTTGTACCATCAAATCCCGACAGATCTGAAAGTTTGACTTCTCCTTTCTTTGCATTAATCCGAAGTGAGTGAGACACTTCACTGGAACTTTGATCTTTCATGTCCTGTTGTAGCTTTTGAATTACCTCAGCAATAGATTTAGTATGAGAATCTGTTGCAGCTTGCCTTTCTTCCGTTTTATCAATACGTGAATTTAGTTTCTTGAATTCTTCCAATAACGCAACAAACTCACTTTGGTTCACCATGTTGCTGTGGGTTTGTTTCACAATGAAAACTCACGGAAGTATACAACGTGAAAATTTTGGATTTTAGAAGTCCAAAGCAAAAAGAATCACGCAAAAACTCCAAGTAGAACGCTCACAATCGTCTGAAAGATTTACTCGTGCAGGTAGAGAAAATTTCAGACCTGCTGAAATCTTTACGCCAAAGTTGAGGGCTCTAGAGAATGCGTTTCTCAACGAAATTTTTTAAAATTTTAGGGGAAGAAACTTCAATGTTTTTAGAGTCCAATGCAAAAAGAATCGTCGAAAAAGACCGAGCAGATTGATTGTCGTCGCCAAAAACTTTTAACTTGGCTGTGATACCAATTGATGCGGATTTTAGTCCAATTTTGTGTAGAATGCAACTACGATTATGGTTTAATGGCTTTGTGAATTATAGTGATGAAAAATATGGTTATTATGGATGAAAGTAAATGGGTAGTACTCTAATTCTCACAAGAATAGAGGGTCTCTTCCTAGTCGCAACTAGAAGATGATCACAAGTGACAACAAGTGATGTTTTTTATTAACAATCAAACGAGCAATGCTCAAAAAGGTTAATTCCCAAAATCAAACTCTGAATTTTATTGCTAATTATGTGGCCTATTTATAGGCTTTACAAGGAAAAGATAAAATAGATAGAATCCTAATCCTATTAGGTTTAGAAAACTAATTCTACTCTAACTTGAATTCTCAGTAACCACATTAAACTAACTACCTTAAAAAACTAATTAAGGAATCCTAAGGCGCTTAAAACAAAAAAAACCCTTTCAAGTAAAAGGTAAAAACTTGTAAGCAAAAATCTATCTAAAGAAACATTAAAAACTATCAAGAGAGGAAATTTTGGATGCTCCCGCATCACTTACCAAGAAGATGATGTTATACAGGTATAGTTACATTTTGAAGTGAACAATTTAGGTTTAATAAATTTCATAAAAAAATTAAAAGGATGAAAAACTGTTGCATCACATAACATCCTAACAACATAATGGAAAATAATGTGACTGCTACATTCTACACATAGATAAAGATAGCAAAACTTCATCTCAGGCTTTATGTGACTGCTACATTCTACAGGTAGATAAGGACACTCATTTCGGGCCAAATTTATCCAAATACGAGTACTTCATATACAATGTTTATATGCAAAATCTGCTTACAGATTATGGTATTACATCAGCTTCTAAAACAATGTCTATCATACTGTTTATTAAAGTATTTACCTCTTGCACATTAGTCACAACAAACTTCATTATCTTACTCCAAAAAGGCTTGTATCCTATCTCCGAGTGTGTCATTAAAATCTAACAGTGTCCCTTGCATCCCATCAGCAGCATTGTCTAAAATCTCCTTGAGGTTTACACCCACTAAGGCTGTTCAATACAACATTAACAATTAAGATCTTGAAATGATTTTTCCCAAGTCTATAATGCCAAGGTACCAACATTAATGATAACACAATTTTTTTTGATAAACATGATAACACAGTTGATAGTGTAAAAGCAGTGGGTCATTTGTTCATCATAGAGGTAAGGAATACAAGTATATAGTATTGTTTACCAAGTCACTTGCTAATAGATATGATGCATTACAATTAATAGCAAAATAAAAAACTAGCAATAAACAACACTAATAACACCGAGGTTTATGTTTTTTTACCATAAAATTAAAGACAAAGACACACTGGAAGATACTAGCCTGGGGTCCAATTATTATGGCAGTTCTGAGTTTAATATCTCTGATAGCCATAATTACTTGACAAATTACATGGATGTGGGTCAAATTATACGCCCCGTTGATATCTAAAGTATGGTACATTAAACACTATGGCAATATATGCAATGAGAACAGTCCCCAACAAGGATAGCATAAGTTGGACACAGTAAGATTACATTTAATTAATTTTTTCCTCTTATATGGATTATTTTTTTATCGTAGTGTACCTTTAAGGTTATAAGGGAAATTCTATAGGATGGAAATTAGACAAATATTATTATGCGGGTCAGAAGGTTGGGCGTTTAGGAAGGAGCACATTAAAATGATGAGAGTAACAAAGATGGATATGCAAGAATACATCGAGGGATAGAATTAGAAATGTAAATATTTGGAGGAAAGTTACGATAAAAAAAGGGAGAATTGGTTATGGTGGTTTGGGCATGTGAGACGTCGATCAAAAGATAAGAGTTATAATGAAAATCTCAAACATAGTAGAGGAAGACCAAAGATGACTTAGTGACAATTAAAAAAGGCCATATAAAAAAAATGGGTTTACAAGGTGTTGTATAATTACTAATTAGAGAGCACTCACAGAGTCACAGCAGCGAATGGAGGAAGAGGATTTTAAGGATGTACGTACGAGATAGACTCTCGGTACTAGCAGCCAACTCCACCGCTTTGGGAATGAGGCTAGGACTGTTGTTGATGCTGTTTTCCTTTCTATGGAGGTGTATAATGGCCATGTTTTTATTTTTTTATTTATTTTATTATTTTTTTTTATAAATTGAACACAAATCAGAAAACAATAAGCCAAAGCAGACCAAAGCAGTGAACAAGTTATTATGAACTGATACCTGGAACTATATTTGTGATACCATCCAAGAATCCAGCTTGCAAGAGAAATGGATAAATTAAGGAAAAATTTCTTGTAAGCAGATAATGTAGAAAAATATGTAACACATACAAAACCTCCTCCCCTCCCTGCATACTTAAAATAATTAATAAAACATACAAAACCTCCCCCACCCCCCAAGCTAAAAAAAAAAAAAAAAGAAAACCAACTGCATAACATGCTTACATCTTTGAAAAATGAAAGGAATGGAGTCATAGTTCCCAGGCTATAAGGCCTATAAGTCTAACAAAGGGGATATTGGAATGGCCAAGGTCAAAATCTAAACTATCGTTACAAAAAAAAATTAAAAAAAAAGGGGGGGGATTTTCCATATGATACAATTATAGTTTGGGCTTTTCCACTTGGTACCCATTTGTTAGTTTTATCCCAAAGCATTCCATCAAACATATTATGAATTCTTTGATTTAGGTGTCATTAAAAAAAAAATCAGTTAAAGTTTTAAGATGATGTTTAAGCCCTTAGTGGCCTTAAGATTAAAGTTTGAGGTCAAAATTAGCAACAATGTCATGGTTTATGTACAAGAAAAATGTCTCAATTTATATATTTCGATTTGTTTCGCGCAAAAAAAATGTTTGGTTAAAGTTTTGGGTGTTATGACTGTTATCAATTCATCACGACCAGGATCAAAATTTGCAGTTGAAATTAGAAAAATAGGACCACAATTGCCCCAAACTAATGTTACATTTCACGAGATGCTATAGTAAAGAGTAAGTAAAAATTACAAAGGTACCATGTAGGCTGTAGAGTAAAATTTAAAATTGGGTACCAAATGGAAAAATCAAAACTACAATGGTACCAATTGGAAAATCCTAAAAAAAATAAATAAAATAAAATCAATTATGGAAGCTTGTCATGCCTCAAACAAAGCTGTTTTCTTTTAACTCAGTACAATATTCAAGCACTAAAAATGATTTGGATTGCAGTAATGCTAATATTTTAAGAAAGTAAACAAAAAGAGCTCATTAGCCAGCATTCAAGGTAAGAAAATAGTCCCTTCATCCCAATTTAATTGTCATGCCAAGATTTGCATGAAATTTTATACGATAAATTGTTGGCTTATATATAATATTTATTTTTTAAAAAAATGGATGTGATGGGTGATAGTAGAGGAAATTTTTAATTGAATGTGAGGATGTGTGCCCTTAACTTTTGGTAGCTGAGAGGATGGGAGGGGGGTGTAATAAAATATTACTAGGTTACTGAGTTGGGATGAACACATAGGGAAAGTGTGACAATTAATTGGGACGGAGCCAACAGAAGGACTAGTGGTGGTCAATGAACAAGTCTATTTACAAGATTCTTTGGAGGCTTCATGAGGCTATATTTAGCTTTTAACCATATATCTACTTCCTCCGTTTTTTTTTTTTTTTTTCTATTTACTTGGAACACTTTTCTTAAATGTAAATGTCTAATTACTTGCAACCAAGTCACAATTAGTAAGTTTGATATGAAATATTCCAATAATAACCTTACTTGCACACCATCCCTACTACCACTCTCTCTCCTCAACCCTTCCCTTTGATTCCTTAACTCCTCTTCAAGTCTTCCCAACCACCAAGCACCACCTTGTTGCCCCTTTACCTCCCACAATCCACCCCAAATACCACAACCCTGAAATTTACCCCACCGACCCCAAAAACCACCTCATCATCTAGATCTAGAAAAACAACCTCACCCGCCCCAAAAACCACCCAAGCCTAGACCACCCTCAAAAATCATCCCACCCACCCTCAAATTCTACCCTACCCAGGCCATAACCACCTAACCCACCCCAAAACAACCCTAACCACCCTTGAAAACCATCCTACCCACACCAAAACCACCAAACCCACCTTGAAACTACAACACCACCCTAAATTATTTCTAATGGTGGTGGGTTTGGTGATTTTGGCGTGGGGAATGGTGGCGGACTGGTGTTTGGGCTAGCTTGGGTGGGTGGTGGGTTGGTAGAAAAAATGGTTGATTGTTGTTTGATGGGGCTGTTACAGAGGAGAGAGATGGTAGCCTTGTGGGCAAATTTGTTACTTTGACTACATGTCTACTTTTCCTTGGCTTTTGTTCCAACGCACATGGTTACGACCAAAACAATAAAAAAAATAGAGGAAGTACAATTTATCTACTCTTACATTTATCTTTTGCCTATCTTCACAAACGAATTTTGTGCAAGTATCTAAAATAGCAATAACCAAACTAAAATGCATGAGAAAATAGAAATGTAGAACTTAGAATTTATAATTTTTATGACTTTCACGTGCTGAGTCAATTTCCATTTTAGTTAATTCAAACATTAATCCAATTTCATAATCCTGCAACCAACTACCATAGTAGGACCAAGACATAAATGAATGTGATGCATAATCCTCATATTTCTACATTATCTTCAGTTTAACAAAAGCCGGAGCCAATGATTTGCCTAGTTGAAGTGGTATAAGATTTATAAACAAAGAATGAAAGAAAATTGAGATACCCAATCGGACATAAGGACATGCACATACACAAGGAACAACAAGAGGAGAAGGATGGATCTGCAAGAAGAGATTATCGTCCGAGTTTACAAAGATAGTTCTGGTATACACCTCACCGAGATTTTCAATGTTGAACTAACACACTAATAATACCTCTTGGATCTAATCTCATATGATTTACTTTATAAAGCGTTAGCAATTAAGTTTGTAATTCAAATCTTCATCTTTTGGACCCCTTTTTTTTTTTTTTTTTTTTTTTTTGTCTTGTTTCTATTTCATCAATGCTACCATTGACAAGCTCGTATACATGGCAAGGAGAGTAGTTTAGTGAACCAAGACAAAATAAAGACAAAATAAAGGCAAAAAGCATGTGACTTACAGGAACCCTGACATCCAGTTTTTCTTTACCATCCCTTCCTGTAATTTTGATTCTCAATGTTCAAGACCAGAGATTGCCAAAAGCTCCCCTTGAGCCATCTGCACCAGTATAGACTTCAGGTGTTATCACTTCAATGGGATGATCTCGCGAAGATTGTTCACTTTCATTCAAGCTATCTTGTTTATTCTGTATGAGTTCATAACCACTATCAACAGCTGAAGATAACCACCATTATAAGCATGTATCAGTAAGAAGGAAGCTGTGTTTCAAAAAAAAAAAAAAAAATAGGCAAAGATGTGTATCCAGCATTTCTATTAGTTAGAAGCATTTACAAAAAGGAAGCTACATGTTTTACTACAACAACAACAAAGCCTTAGTCCCAACAACAACCATCACTTTAAAGAGTTTGAGAAAAGGTGAGTAAATCAACATGTTTTTACAAAAACAAAAAAAAAAAAAAAATAGATCTACTAATAGAGAAAAATAAATAAATAAAACAAAACAAAACAAAGTTTCCATTCCAACCAAACAGCCCCTTAAGGTTAGGCCAAATCCCCTTCGATGCCTGCTATAGTCCATACGTGTATTTCCACTATGTTTAAAGTTCATAATGTAGTTACATATGGGATACCATCACCTAGATTTTGACTCTTTAGGCAGTAAATCACTGACATATACAGCATATATTTCCTAGGTTGATAAGAAATGATTAGGAAAAATAAACCTGTAACTCTGTTCTAATAGCCCATATCTGTCACAATTAATTTATGCTTCTTACACAACAGTGTCTTTTATCAACGTTCAGTCTACATATATTTCCTTATGTAATTGATAATCAATATCTCTGCATGGATCTTCAGTTTTTGTAATTCTTTTGTTAAACATCAATGAAACTAATAAAAGATATATCCACTAACGGATGTAAATTAAATTCTTCTTCAGTTATAAAGTCAATTAAATGCTCTTGTCATCTAAGATACCCTTTTACCTTCTAAGAAATAAATTCCTTGTTAAAGCCATTTTTCTCTTCAGTAGAGATATAGCACCTTAACTTCCTATCACCAAGTCACCAACTACCAACTACCAAGATACATCACAATGTAGTTTAGGCAATGCTATTGTGCCCATTGAGCAAAATGTTGAACTAGCAATTTATGTGTTGTTCACTCCTAAAACAACTGCTCTGGCAACAACATAAAATTTACAAAAAGGTAATCAGAGAATATGTAAAACCAATACCCACATCTTGAGATAAAGAGCTTCTTTCAATGCAAATAATACATTAACTAACCTCGAGGAGAAGGTGGTGGAGTCGTGATTAGGGCATACCGCTTCTCCTCTTCATAATAATCTTTAAAACCTAAAATATCTTTGATTTCCTCAAAAGAAGGCATACTTCCTGGGGAAGGAATATGGCCTCTTCGGATGGCTGTTAGGGCATCCTGCAGCAGTTAATTAACATCGTCAGAAAGAATGTAAATCACCCCTAGAAAGTCCACCGAACATTCTCACATTCTATTGATAAAAAACTATAACAAACTGATTATAAGCTATCTCGCACTAGAGTTAGTACTTAGAAGCCTAATTGAGTTTGAGTACACAACAGTGTCCAGACATTCTTTTAGCATAACCAATGTTAGATTTAGTAAGCTATTGATAGTGTCATGACTAAGTGGGAGGCTGCATCATATATATAGACACACACTGGGTGCTAAAACCAATATGAAAGTCAGAACTAGCCCTTTTTAAAGAAGTTATCTTGGCTAGTATATGTCATATAGATCTTCTTTCTACAGCCTGTAAGACATTAGGTGGACCATACCCAAAAGCTTGTTAACTCTCATGGAGTATTATGCTGACACACAAATCATTTGTAGCTGCTATCAGCCTATCACTACAGATTTTCCACAGTACTTTATCATTCCAGTTGGAGGGATGCAAAAGAAAATGGAATAAAGCTAGTATGTAGTGACACTTTGTCACACATAGAGGAATTTTGGAAACAAAACTTGTCCACAGCGGATTTTGAAATCCAACTGTTGATGTGATGGTATTATTGGCATCTCAAGACTCAAGTTGGAGCCATAGTGTCACAATCCAAATGTTTTGACACAGGATCATGGAGTGCACTCTTGCCGAACCGGTGGTAAGCTGCTAGTCTAGTGTGGAAAGGACGTGTGAACACATAGTAACATATGCAGGTGTCTGATTCTAGAAGGGAACTCTTGCATATTGAGCAACAAAAGCACACAGAGGTTTTAGGGTCAAGGCAGTGAGCAGAAGAGCAACCAAATGATCGAGTTGGGGCGTCTTAGAATTTAGGATGTTATAACGCATGTGAGGACACAATATCAATATGGATCTACCAACAACACAAGCATTAAAGCAAGGCAAATTTGGTGAAGAAGCTAGGATCTCTCATTGATCAATGATCCCTAAACAACTTTATTTGGATCATATTGTAATAGGTGAACATTGGATTGACAATAGCATGTTAAAGACATCTAAAGCCTATAAAATATAATAATTAGTCCTAAAAAGCAACTAAAACATTGAAAAAGGGGTTGGGTTAAAACAGAGAGGTGCCGGTGAAACCAAAGGAGTGGACTTTTAAAACAACTTTCCTTTAATAGCAAAAAAGGCATTAGCGATCTTTTTTTTTTTTAATAAATATTTTGTTTACAAGACATAAGCCTAAACCAAGGTATACAATAATAACCAAGTTTTAAATCATTTTAAATTATTATTTTACAAATTATACTAATTGAGTTTTTATACTTTTATAGCCTGGTGGCAAGTGTCACATTTGCTTTTCTAGTTGTAAATATGAAGAAACTCAATGTGATTATTAAGAATTCATGTAGATTTCATTGATAAAAGGATTTCTGGTTAGATATTTATTTAGGGGGTGTTTGGTTCATCAAATTGGAATCGCTTGGTATGGAATCTCATACTAGAGAGGTGTATGGATTCTAAAACTTATACTACTACAAAGTTGTTTGGTTTTATTGTTGAAATGGATTCTATATTTCATTAAAAAAACATGGATTGTAAATCTTAGAGGGAGAGCTAAGTGTGGGAATCTAAGAGTATGGGGTAGAATTAGAACCCCTTGGCTATGAGATTCCATAACTAAAAAACTCAACCAAACAAAAAAATAGATGGAATGGATTTTAACTCCATTCCAACTCATTCCAAATGATCCAACCAAACAACCCCTTAATACTACCTCTATTCTAGAAATATTGTACCATTTGAAAATGTAACACTATCCACACGATCTTCTTCAACCATGCATTTTTATTATTAAAATAAAAAAATTAAAAAAAAAAAAAAAAAAAAAAAAAAACAGAGTCACATAAGGTCTTTTTAGATTTGTCTCTAGATACACTTTCATGTTATCAAATATTTTATAATGTCTAATCTTATATAATGAAAGATCATTAAGATTGGTCATTACAACCTTTTTTCTTTAAAGGGTATTTTGCTTTTTGTTTGTTTTTTTAGGATATAATAATGGTCCCTCCGTTAGAAAGAAACTTGTCTCCCTCGAAAAAAAGAGTTTGTGATCTCTTTCAAAAGACAAAGTATATTCGATCTTTTTCAAATGACAGGATTTTTCGACCTCTTTCGTAGACATGGCTTTTCAACCTCCTTCGAAAGAGGTGTTCTTTGTGCGTGGTATAGCCACAAGTCATGTAGGGCTACAATTGATGTTGATTGCTCCGGTTACAAAGTTACCTCAAAAATTCTCTTCCTTCCATAATTACAATGCGACAATAGATCCACTCAATATGTTGTATGAGACAACAAATCGATAATGTGTCGAATTGTTATATCTATGTATTCGGATTATTAACCCTTTCAATAAATTCTTGTTTGATTATGTGAATTTTTTTTTTACTCATTAATTATTAATTATTAATTCTGATTTGAAATAATGAATATTAGTGTTCGTTATGACTTCTTTAAAAAAATTAAGATTGAAAATGTACATAGGGATGTGCAACTCTGGTGCAATAATAGCAAAAATTACGAAATATTGTTTCATTTTTTTATTAATAATTAATTACAAACCTAAACCTATCCTTATGCAACGAATAAGCATGTCATCAAGAAAGTTAATTATGGAGTGGTCTGAAGCCAGTTTGGAAATGAGTCACAAAGGTATGATGTGAGGAGAGTGTGTAGTCAAATAGGGGAGATGGGTAATGTATGAGGCATTGTATCTATGGTGAGGGAAAGCTGTTTAAGAAGATAATCCACCTCTTGAATGCAAACTATCATTTATTCTTCATTTAAATTCATTTTCCAAGAATACAATGAAAAAAACTTCTATAATACCTTATATTCAAAATTTAAATCCTAAGAAATTACTTATCAGAGCGGTACTATCTATGCTATTGGGCAACAAGTGGATCAATTGGAAGAACAATTCCAATCACACCAGAGTTCCATGGACGATTCAATCATTGGAAGATTCAGGCCACAATGATAGAGAGTAATCACACAACAAATCTTAGAACACGTGTTCAAAAACCAAGAAAATCAGAAAAACGACCCAATTGGACCGATTGGTCTGGTCTACAGGTCGAGAAGTATAATATTCCAGTCTCTAGTCTGGTACAGTCAAAAAACCTTTAAAAGCTAATCGTGGATTGGACCTATATTATGTTCACATTTATGCATAATACCCTATTCATCTTTATTTTATTTTTTGTTGCTAATGATGAATCCTACATTCATCCACACTCAAACTTATCTCTACATTTCCTCCATTAAAAGCATGCCCATAAGCAATGAGAAAACATAGTACTGAAAATTTAGTTCCACTTTCTAGTTGAGACTAGTTACCTGCATTGCTTGGATAGAGACCCCTATCAAAGAAAGTGGGTAAGCAACAATTTTGTATCCAATGTCTTCAAGTTCCATAGGAGTGAGAATAGGTGTTTTCCCTCCTCCTTCAAGCATGTTCGCCTTCAAAAAAGATAAGTACTTCAATTAATAACTAGTGTTGATTAACAATACCAACCATCTCTGTAACAGAAACCCTACTCTAAGAAGAGGTATGCAATAACTCACACAGTAATCATAGTATAAGCATAAGAAGTTTACATGCATCCATACACAGAAATAAAAAATAAATAAATAAATAAAAATAAAGTAAGCAAAAACACAAGAGAACTGTCATATAGCCCACTTCTCCAAATATATCTGACAAAGTCCCACAATGCCTTGCAGATACTAACATAAGCAATTACAAGTTAAAGTGACTGAACTACTAAAGTACTGATAAGGCTTTTAGAACAGTCCATATTTAACAAGGCCTATCAGGGGCTGCAATTATTGGACCCTCTTGCAAGTTAGCTATCAACTTGTAGATAATAATATGAAAGTAGCTATTAGTGTTTGGCTTATTTATTTTGTAAGCTAATTTGACCAAAGGAACTCTGATGCGGGTGTATGGAACTTGGTGGAGGAAGTTGAAGAAGTGCCATGTGTTGTGACACGAGCCGTGCCAAACTCCTTGGTGGTTACCTCTCGGGGTTGACTATCATCAAACTTGAGAAAGTTTTGTTTACTTAGAATAAAGCTCCAAGGATTCCATGTGTTAGCCAAGAAAGAAATTTATCAATGTATGATGCAAATACTTCATTCAGCCATATCTTCTTTGTTACAAGGAATTTTCAGATGGTTTAAATTGGAAGTGAAAATACAGTCCAAGAGCTTTCCAATGACAGGTCACATGCCCAATTTGAGCGAGAAACGAATAAGTTATGAGCATTTGAAATCGAGCTATCCAGGCCTAAGTGCTGGAGCGACCCGAAATTGGGATTTTTGGCAGAAAATTTGGAGCAACTGATCCCATCTATGGAACGACCACTTTGTTCGTGAGGAGCAACCGCTCTAAGACCCCTGTTTCAAAGCGGCTTTTTTCTTTCCTTTTGTTTTTTTTAGCTTACTTTAATCTTGGCCTTTCATTTGTAATCCAAGGAGTGTAATTCAAGAACTCTAGGGTTGTTTTGTAAAGCCTATAAAAAGGGCTAACTTGCTTTTGGTGACAACTTTTTTGCTTAATTTTGAATCCAATGAGATTTTCTCTCTGCCCATAATCTTGGTGATTATTTCCTTTGTATGTGATTGCTATTTTGTAAACTTTGTGGTTACAGCTTAATTAGCTTTACTTGGTGTTGGCTTTGATTAAGAACCCCTATTTTATAGATCTCGGTGATTTTTTGAGATAGATTTATCTTGTGTTGTTGCTTTAAAATTGTTGTCAATTGATTTTCCCCTCTTTTTGTTGGTTGTTTCATATCAAACTCAGGCATATCTTCTCTAATCGACTACTACTACTTGAAGGCCTATAAAAGGTAAACAACAACAGGCAACAAATGCAGAGCATATTCCATAATACGTTACAAAATCCATCATTAAAAGGTATATCACAGCGCTTGTACCATGATCCTAAGGACGGCGTTTCTCTTTTGATTGTTCCACAAGCCATGATGATCAATTCAACATTTAAATATCTTCTCAATAGCTATACTGTGTATTCAATCTCTCACTCTTATGCATTTTTTTACTATCCAAGGCCTTTGATGTCCAAATAATCAATGTACTTGTATGAATAACGGGTATAATACCCACGTTAAATTGGATTAGTGGACTCATAGCAACACGTGGTTTTTACCCACATTCATTGGCGTTTTCCACATTACCATATTGTGTACTTTCTCTTTTCATTTCCATCACCTACATTTGATCTTCTATTTTGTAGTTTCAATCTAGTTATCGGTATCCCAACCAAATGTTGTCCCTTTAGGCGAATGGCACTAATGGATTGATAGAAAGTACTTCATTAAAATAGTTGTAGTTAGCTCATGGTAGTTGCAACAAGAACATAATTTGTTACTTAAGTAAAAGTTGATAACATATAATTGTTATGTAAAATAAGCTAAAGGAATAGCCTATTTTAAATCATAATCATATATTATTGAATTTTAGTTAGTCTTAGAGCCATCAAAAGTTACATAAATTTTTAATGGACTTTTAAAAATCCCAATAAACCTATTAACCATAAAATTATCCAAATATGTGATAATGGAATCTGTTCAGATTTTTCACAGGAAAAAAAATAAAAAGAAAAGAAAAAGAAACTTCACTAACTTCACTGTTAATCAGATTACTTTTTTCTCTTTAACAAATTTGGTTAAACTTAGCTTACATAGTTGTTGCTAGCAACAAGATCCATCCATGATTAGTCCTTCCATCATACCACTACCCCTAAAAGAAAACATTCTACTACAAATTTTTTGTCTTATACTCCCTTTGTAACCTTCCTTTGGCTTATATTGTATCCATTCATCTTCCACAAGAACTCAACCACCCTTATTCTACGCTCAGAATACTCAGTCCATTTATTTAAATATCGAATCCTCCAAGGATATCATCTTCTAAGGAACCTCCAAAAATTGTCTTTACGGTGCCATATTTACAGCACATCTTGCAAGTTAAATTTTTTTATCATGTCAGAACAGTAGAACTTAGCTTCTGTGGTGAGATTAAAAAGAAAGTATCTTTTTATTCTTTTTTTTTTTTGACGGAAAAGAATCTTATTATTCTTATTACTATTTCAATATGATAAATAATGCTGACACCCAATCACTTCTGTTTAATGATAAGCTCCCTTTCCCGTAATTACTTCTTCTTTGCAAGCCATTAATCACACAGGTTGGTGGAGATAATCATTTTGAGATGGTAAATAACAGTATGCAATTGAGCGTACAGTAGTTCCTTGTAACTTTTTGCATTAATCATGGGTGCCTATTTTGCAAAAAGGATCTCTAATCCAATATCTACCATTGCAAGAGCTGTCAAGACAAGCTTAAAATTTTTGCATAAGATGCTAGTTATTTCTTCTAACATGACTATTCATAAACCACATATTTTTCTTCATGAAACGACCACCAAAAAAAAAAGAGTTGGAGCTGTCCTGTTTACGTTAAACTAGCACAGTTGATGACTCAATTAAATGTAAACTTTGATCCCATTGAACCATCAAAAAGTGAAAAGTTATTGTAGAGTCCCTAATGTCCCATATTGCAGGTGACAATGTTATTTTAAGAAGCGTTTTGGCATCCATAGCATGAAAATAGAAATAAACGTATAGAAGCAGTAAGTAACCAAGACTATTCAATTAGATACAAACAACAATATCTCACCATTTTAGGAACTGAAGGAGATATTTCACAGAAGGCCTTCATCTCATCTCTTGAAGCTAGTGCGTCTATAAATAGAACATCAGCTCCAGCATTAGCAAAGGCCTGTGATCTCTGCAATGATTCTTCAAAAGACACGGCTTGACGAGAATCAGTCCTTGCCACAATGACAATATCTGAACCACTTTCTCTTCTAGCATCTATAGCTGCTTTTATCCGCATTACTGCTTCATCTATGGAGGTGACTTTCCTGCCTTGTGTATGACCACAAGCTTTAGGAGACACCTGGTAATTACTGAAACATATAAGCTATGGCAATTTCTAAGATTGATGCCTGAAGAAAATTAAAGAGTCTCAAGTAAATGCACAGTTCCTTTTATCAAAATTATAAGAAAATGCAAATATAAGGCCATGTTCTCTTCAGCAAAACGTAACTTAAGTTCTAGAAAAGGAAAAAAAAAAAAAAAAAAAAAAACCACCTAGGTAATTATGAATATAACAGGGCCTAAGTCTTCTTTTACATAATACACTTAAAAATAAAAAGTGCCAAACATATACTTCCTCTGTTCTTTTTTACTTGACCTGTTTCTTTTATCACACTTGTCAATGCAAAACTTTAACGATCAATAACTTAAATTCTCCATAACTAAAAATTATAAAAGTTATATATTATGATAGTACTTATTGAGACGAATCCAAAAATATCATACATTAATATATTTTTCCTTACATATTATTCACAAAAGACGGTCAAAGGAGGGGTGGTGAATAGTGTAAAAGTCAAAGCGGGTCAAGTAATAAAGAACGGAGGAAGTAGTTCTTTCTATAAAATTGCATTTCATGACTAAATCCTATGCATTCCGGACAAATAATAGTAAGGGGAAAACGTAAACTGATTAAAGAGAAATCATAATTCGTTTGAGAAGAAAACAAAGTAACAACTAAATAAAAGGATACTAAAAAGATACTTGAACACAATGATCCAAACATAGATTCAGAAACCAAAGCAGCAGAACAAACTTGGTCTTCCAGGATGATTCCGGCAAAGCCAGCCTTGATGTATCCTTTCACAGTTCTCTTCACATTCATAGCATTTCCATATCCATTATCGCCATCACCAATCACAGGTATTGACACAGCTTCTGTTATTTTCTGCCCTTGATCCACCATTTCTCCATAGGATATAAGGCCAACATCAGGCAATCCCAATCTAGCAGCTGACATTGAAAATCCTAGAAAAAGTAGGGAAAACAAAAAGATATTAGCATAGTGAAATCAAACCAAATCCGAAAATTCTTAGTCCATGCCTGGATTGAGATGTATAGGAGGGGAAAAGTTTGAAGGGCTAAAAGTTCTAAAGTTTTTAGCTGGGTGGAATAGGGGAGATAATTACATGGTGTAATATATCCCCCCCCCCCCCCCAAAAAAAATAAATAAATAAATAAATAAATAAAAAATTGAGGATAACAATTACACACCCACCCAACTCGGGTAACTTTTCTCCCTGAAAAATAAATCATGTTTCAACTCATTTTGTTGCTTAATGCCTACCGTCATCAGGCTTGGCATGAGAAAGTGAGAACAAAGGGGAGACCGAGGAGATATAGTAGCTGTAAAATACAGTACATATTTATTTTTAGTTCTAGTGTGATTGCTCTAGTAAGATTCCCAAATTTAGAGAAAGTAATCTCTCTCTTCGTAACTAAGTCCCCTTGAAACTATTTCTCAGCTAATTTGTACAGTTTATTTGCTACTTGAATTCCAGGCATGCCATTAAGGGTAAGAGTTTGCAAACTATGCATAAAATGATGATTTATTAGCACCCACATTCCAAATTATCCAATAAATGGGTTCAGCTTAGAGACTTGATTTGACTGAGAGCTGTTACCGTATGACATGCATATAATAAACAAGGGTGTACAAAGCAAGAGAGTTCAGTCTTCCCAGGACTGACAGAATCCCAGATTCCTGCTCTACTCCCAGAATTAAAGAACAAGCCCTGAAACAGAAGACAGTGCAAGTCACCAGCTCACCACCAAAGATGCACAGCACCAGCTAATCTCAACGATGTCTCATGACACTTAATAGCTCGAAGACAATCTATTAACATGCCTTGCATCATCATAAAGCACTCCTAAATTTGTACATCCTCAATTCCAAACATTGCAATATTTATTCCAATTCATTAAACACAGTCCAATGTCCTTTCCCTTATTTTCGCTTACTTCCAAGTTGCAAATTTCTACATTCCTAGCAACGATTCATAGTTTATCCTTCAACAAAATCACAACATGAACAATACTTCAAACTTTTTTTCCCTAAATTATAATTAATCATTATACTCCATAATTAATCATCCTCACAGAAATCAACGAAATTACAAAACCCCAATCACCGATAACAAAATGAAAGAGATTAATCAAACCAAAAATTCTAAATTCTAAATAAAAAAATAAAAAAAATAAAAAAAAAAAATTACCCCCTTAACAAAACCATGCAGTTTATCAATTTCATTCAAAAATCCTAAAACGATAAAAAAGGGATACAATCAAACAAAGAAAAAACTCACCACTAGTAAAACAAAAATCAAACCCAGCATCCTGTACTAGCTTAGCACTCAGAGCATCAAAGCAGGCGGGGCCTTGATGAAGGCCAGTAGAATTAAGCAATCGTCGAAGCGCCTTTGCAGGCGATTCAGAGCTCAATCTTTCCCCTCTTCCTCCTTCGGATGATGCGGCATTGACGGCGGAAACAACCGGTGCAAACCCTTTTGAGCACCATCTTTTTGCTGCTGCTGCTGCTGCTGCAACTGATGTTTTTGTAGTGCAAAAGAAGGTGGGGTTGATTGAATTGTGTAGATTGGAAGAATTTGCGGCAGAAGGTGATGGGGTTATGGTGGATGGTGAAAATAGAGGTCGGACATTGCAGTCTCTAGTTACTGAAAGCTGCTGCATCGTTGTTTTGCCGTTGATACTACTGAATTTAGTGGGAATGACTCCTATTTTGGGTGCTGAGATGGTGCTGCTGGTGCTTTCTTTTTAAACTTTTACTCGTATTTTCTTGGGTTTTCTATAGGGTGTGCCCTTACAATATTCACTTTTTTAAGCTTTGTTCATCCATTTTCAAAATTTCATGTTGTAAGTCCAACGTACCTTTAGTTTATATGTTGTAACAATACCGTTAAGTTGTCGTTAGTTGTTTTATGTTAGTTTTATATTTTCAAGCTTTTAACGTTGCAATTGGGTTATTTTTGGTAGGAAAATTTCCCTCTAAAAGATTGGTACTCTACATTTCTCTATAAATAACCCTTTTAATCCCTGTTTTTGGGCTTAGGGTTCACTTCAATTTTTGGATTCTCCACATAGCAAGCTCGTTCTTCATTATTCACCATGTTAAGTTCTCGATCGACCTTTCAATCGAAATCCAATGTGCGCTGGTATTTTTGCCTCCTCGCTACAGTTGCAAGCCCCCTAAACTTGCAAAGATAAAGCTATCAACAACCAATCGCAACCTAGGGAAAGCTTTCTTTAAGTGCAATGAGTGTGGATTCTTCAAATGGTTAGATGAAGGTTGTAACACCCTAGAAATTCCTTTATTTTAAAATACTTGTTTTGCCCTGTTTAAAACTATAGAATAGGAAAATCTACGATATTACCGCCACCGTGAAAACGGCTAAGGCAACTATCAAAGACGCACAGCGGAAGACTTTTTTAAAAACATTCAAAACAAGTCAACTTAAAAAGTCAACCCAAACGAAAGTAAAGTTAAAACCAAAGTCAAACGAAGTAAGATATAACCAACCTACAACTTGGAACCAACACAGGCCCTTATTAAAAGCCAAACCAATTTCAAAACTTTTGCATTAATCATGCATAATAATATCATAAATAATTAAAGCATTAAACACATCATAAACTCATGGAAACTAGCATGATTCGCTCTTCACTCATGCCCCGTCATGAATATGCTTCAATACCTGAAAAGCTTCTCTCTACTTGTTTCCACTACTCCATTAAAAATGGGTCATCATAGGGCCAAGATAAAGACAAGGCCAATAACACACAAACACACACAATCAGCAAAGCTAAGTACATAAGCGTATTTAAACACACTAACATGTTTTCACCTATCAACATACACATACCTCAATGCACCTGATTACAAGCACACACAACATTCAACAAGACTTCTCAACTAGACCACTAAATAATTTATTTAGTTTTTGATTACGCATCGAACGGGTTTCCCACTCAACCTCCCCTAAATAAATTGAGGTTACTGACACGGGAGCTAACCGTGCCAGCATCAATAACCACACATAGGTGGCGGAATTCCTGCGTATAATAAAAATAAAAGGAATGTACAGCGTCCTGTACTCCAATAGAAGTTATGGTTAAATATAAAACCCCATAACTCCCCCCATATGTTCATACTCAAGATATATACGTTCCAAGAGTTTTGGTGCGTAATCTCTTTCACTTTACGTTATTTATAGATTATTAAACTTGGTGATGATTCTCAAACCATAATCATTCAATCAACAATAATTATTCAAACAACCAAATATACCAATTTAATTCTTTAATAATTAGTGACCACATAATATTTAATGTTGAATCCTTTTTAATTCTATCTCGGTGCCAATGACACCTTTAACGCATAAAGCACCACAAATCCTATCCCTGGTGTTAAAAACACCTTAAGTGCACTAAGGCACCAACATCCATTTTATTCCTCGTGTACATAGACACTTATATACCTATTTCCTCATGCTTATAGCATCAATAAAAATTATATGAACAATAATAAAATTCCTTTTCAATATTCCAAACCAAATTAAACATTTAGTTTACTTAAATAAATCTTTTAACATGCCAATAATAAAAATATGGTTCAATAAAAATATTTCAATCTCACCAATTCCAATAGATAATTTATTTCAACCAATCATGCTTCACAAATATTTCACCAAAACCATTCTCAATTCAATAATCCAATTCAAATCACCAATCTCATTCCAAATAAACCATTCCAACCAATTCCTAGCATGACACTAACTTGGAATCAATTAAATTAATCCTAGCATGTTTCTACACGCTTAATAAATTTTTGAGTACGCGTACGTACCTCAAATAAGCTATTAAAATAGCCGAGTACACTACAATAATTCCCGAACCAAGTCTCCTACATAAAGGGACAATAATACTATATTAATTACCCTTGTATACACAATTTCTAGCAACTTAAATTCATTTTAGACTACTTAAAATAATCTGAAAATTATTTAAAACCCCTAATTAAACTTTTCTTTAATGGGTAATTAAACCCTTTCAATAAAATCATAATTATATTACTTTAAATAAAATTCCAGCATTTTAAAATAATCAAACCCTTTAAAAACTTCATCAAAATACTTCTTTATACTTAGATTATCCATGGAAACATTGAGTATATATAAGCCCAAAATTAATTTATACAAGAACCCTAAAAATCAAGTCTTGAATAAATTAAAAACTCTAACTTGTAAAATCATAAAATCTGAAATTAAAACCCACCATAATAATCTGAATTTGTAGTTTAAACCTATTAAAATATAAATACTCATGATTCAAGTAATTAAGATCATCATATAAATAAAATAGGAATATAGGAAGGAAATTAAAACAAGAAGAGGAAGAAGGAGGAGAGAGAAAACTCCTCCGCGGCTGGCGGTGGTCGCTGCCTGAGGTCACCGGCGTAATGGCGAACTCCAGTGGGTGGGGTCGTGAGGGAGAAGCACCCAATTCCTCCTTGTGAATCCCACGTGAAACAAGGAAAAACCAAAGGAAAGAAAACAAAAAGGAAAGAAAAGATTATAAAGGAAAAATAAAATAAAGAAAAGAGAAAAATAAAACTAACCTTTTTGTGTGGGGAAATTTTGGGGTTTTGAGAGGTATTTATATAGTAGAGTGTATATGGTTAAGTTTGGGCTTATAAAAAAATGTGGGCTTAAGTTATGAAATATTTGACGGCCTAGTAAAATACAATGGGTAGGTCTAACAAGAGTATGTAGGAAAAGAATACATACGATTATTTTATCGAGCTCATATAATTAATAAACGTATGGCCCAAAATATAATTTTTTTTATAAAACTTTATAATTAAAATACTTTAATCCTTAAAATACATTTTATAAATACTTAAATACTTTATAAAAAATACATAAAAATACGGAGTATTACAGTCTACCCCCCCTTAAAAGAAGTTTCGTCCTCGAAACTTAAGTACGAAAACTTTAAAAACTTATTTAAAGGCAAATAAATACTTAAAATCTCAAAAACTTTTCTTAATACTTTTAGTTGCTGTACTTTTGTGATACTTTCTGTTTCGGGTGTTTTTTGGATTTCCTCGGATATTGGTCACGCTCTCCTGGCAACGAGACGGTCCCACCTGCAAAATAACGAATATTCCGGTAAACGGAATATTCGCCTCCAACGATCAAGTTTGTGATCAGAACGGAAAAGGCTAGAGAGAGAAAGTAGAGAGAAGTTGGAGCTATTTAATGCTCTTTTGTGTATATCAATGTCTTGAAAAAATCCCCCCCATCATAAAAGATTGGGGTATTTATAGGGGTGGGGCTCGTGCCCCTTTTAGGGTTTGTACCCTAGATTGGTGTGGCGTGATTGGCTGCGCAATCAGTGAATGCCACGTGTTACCCTAGGGGCGGCTTTCATTAGTATCTCTCGGGATTTAGGCCCTGACGTTGTTAGGGCTTTTTGGTGTGCTGATGAAAGAGGGAACACATGCCCTAAACACATGACATCTTCTCATGACGACACGTGTCACCCTCTGACTGGGCCACGTGTCGCTACGAGATTGGCCTGAGACCTTAAGGGCTCTGAATTGCGTGGCATCTTCCCATAATGACACGTGTCACCCTATAACTGGGTCACGTGTCATTATGGGATTGGTCCACGTATACGAGGTATTTTTACCCTCAACATTTTCCCCTCAGAGGGAGTGGCTCGTACGCATACAGGCCGACTCCTCTGATCTTAAATAGCCTTGGTGCGTACAGGTGTATTAGGGTTTTGTCAGTTTTCTGTCCGCCTGACATCTTTAGACGGAACGTCTATCTATATAGAGGGCGCAGACGAAAGTAGGCCGTCTCACTTTTAGGAGATGCGGCCGTCTTGCCATTGCGAAGGGAGCTTTAGCTCTGCTAACTTCCCTTTGGACGCACCGTTTAACGGAGTTGCTCCTAATTTAGGTCGTCATCTTTTCCGCCTAATTTAACGGAGTTGCTCCTTGTCCTTCCAAATTCTAGGTCACATTTTCAAATTATAACCGTTCAACTTTGTTTAGGCGGGAAAGATGAATTTACTGTCTTACCCCCATAAATTTTGCCTATATATACAAGAGGTTTGACCTCATTTTGGCACTTTGGAACTTTACATTCTCTAGAGAGAAGTAAGAGCTTCTAGAGAGAGAAAGTGAGTTTTTCTTTAAATCTTCGAGAGCTCCGCCGTGCGTTTGAGTTTTCTGGCCACTTCTGTTGATTTTTCCGATCAACTTTCAAGGCTTCCAAGTTTTCAACACGTACAGAGGTAGGCCGCCTGGTTTCTTTTCTTTGTATTTTTATTTCTTTGTTTATTTAAAATCTGGCTCAACACTCGGCTTCGTCCGTTTCTCCTCATGAGGCCGGCCGTTCGCCTGGGACTGAGGAGTCTAGAGTGGACGGAGACGAGTTGTCTCCTTCATGGAGTGGGTCCATTTCTAGTGCGTACCAACTCACATCCACCCATTCTTCTCTGTCCCTGCAGTCGAACATGGCACGGACAAGGCAAACGCATGATCTTTATGTGGCCAGAAATCCAGACGGAAGTCTGGTGAACCCTAGGCCTCCATATGACCCAAATAGTGCCAACTTAGAGACTCATTCTTCCACTCCTACGACCACTTCCACGGGCACTCATTGCTCGGCTGTGGAAGTAACTTCCTCGTTCGAGGAGCGCCAAAGAACTCAAGGCGCTTCTGCTACGGGGGGAACGTCCGGGCGAACTCTGGAGTTGAGGTTCCCCCAATATGCCAACTCGGTCATGGATGGGGCCGAGTTGCTACTTTGTGAAGGGCCTCCTTCCTCTTCTCGGGCGGACGCTGATACGTCCGTCCCAACTCCCTCAAAACTCTTTCTCCGATATGGCAGGTCGGACAGACCAAGAACAGGGGTCTCAATTAATGAACCATCCGACTTGCCCCCTCGTAGAGCCCCTCATACAGGAATTCAGGCGACCGGTGCCAAAGATAAAGGCAAAAGGCCCCTTGAGGATATTGTTTCTCCTAGAGGCGGCCATAGTTCTAGGAGCCGCAGCTCAGCGGAGGCAGCCGATCTGGACAGAGTGCTGTCTTCCGAGTTTGGGAGCATTCCTCAGTGAGAAGAGGATGAGGTTGAGAATGCGGCCGAGGGTGAAGCGGCGGCCGCTGGAGGCGAAGAGGCGATCGAGGAGGATGTTGCCAATATTGACAACTTCAAGGA